CAACATTCCCAAAGCTGACAACTTTGTCCTCTTCATGCAACCGTTTGGTACTTTCTCTCCGGACTCATCTACGTTCCTTTTCAGCCTCCTTCGAGGCCTATTTCTAGCCTGGTTACTATATTCAGCCAACACCTCCACAGAATCCTTCTTGAGTTTCTGGATTCCCTTTTCATCTATGTTTTCACCAGAAACATCAAACCCATCCTCCTTAGCATGTCCAACTTCATTTTTCACCCTTTTTTTCTTACCATCATCCCTCTTATCTCTCCCATTCACCACAGCCCCGTAAGTACAACCATTATCCAGCACAAAATTAATTTCCTCAGTATTATCAAGATTCTCTTTGATTATTTGAACATTCTTTGTGCTTCCGGATCCATTAAGCCATTTGCCCACCTTTTTACAAGCTTTCAACCCCTTTGAACTAATTCGGCCATCGGTGTGCAACCGAATATCCCCATTTGAATTAAAGTTTGCACTTCTCTTCTTCGACTCGATGGCTGCTAATACCATCTTTCTGGGCCTCCCACGCCGCTCAACCGTCTGAACAGGACAAGAACCTTTGACGATATTGCCCTCTGCGCCTTGTCCATTTTCAGTCCCTTTTACCCTCTCTTTCTCTTTCTTGGAACCCTTTGGCCCAGGATTGCCATTATCTCCACCCACCATTTTCTTCTTATTCTTCGAACCTTTGGGCCTCCCCACAATAATCCCATCTTTTCCTCTCTCATTCACTTCTTCAATAACCGTGTCTTTGATTCCACCCTCGATTTTAACAACACGTACCAATGTTCCGACCTGCATTTCTTCCTCCGGCCCGCTCGAAACGCCGGTTTTCGGCTTATTTTTCGAACCCTTCGGCCTCCCCCTCCTTTCAACCCTAACAACACCATTGCTTGTTTCGATAGCATCATTTTTCAGCTTGTTTTTCGAACCCTTTGGCCTCCCCCTCCTTTCAATCCTAATTACACCATCTTTTTTTTCAACAAGCAAAATTTTCGGCTTATTTTTCGAACCTTTCGGCCTGCCCCTCCTCTCTATCCTGACCGGAGCATCGTTTTCCCCAGCTGCAAGTACCATTTTCCCATTGTTGTTCAAACCCTTTGCCGTCCTGCCTCTCTTCTTCGCGCCCCCACGACCTCCATTGGAATCCAAGGCGCAAATTTCCACATCCTCGCCGCGCTTCCACTCACGGCCGCCGTCAGACAAAAACTCGCCTCCGCCATCTTCCCCATTTTCAATTTCCTCCGATCGTTCCGCTCTCCCAACCCCGCGAGCCGACAAATAGTGCTCCTCGCAAAGGGTCTTCCCGCTCACGGCCGCCAAATTGCACCTCCACCGCCCGCCGGCGCTGAGCTTCTCGCATTTCCGCCCGGCATCACCGCCGACGGAAACACCACAAGACACCGCCACCGCCCCCGCCGCCATAAATCTCAGCAAAATGAATTAAAAACAAACCCTAGCCCACCAGGAAAAAATTAACAAGGGCAGCAAAAGTTCAACATATATGGCCTCCTCCTACTTACCCATTTAATCGGCGCAAGATTAAATGCTTGCTTCCACTAAATGACTGTAACCCAATTGCTGCTGTTTGTAGCCAGAGCTAGGATTGCTTAAAAGTACGGGAATAATGGCGAATTACGAATTTTCCGACTTTTTTTTCTCTGTTTTTTGTGTCAGCACACGGGAAAAAAAGATTCGGTTGTCTGGTTTTTCATGGAGTGCGAGTACGGACGCCGGCAGTCTTTTCCTGCGGTTTTGTACGGTGCGGAGGTTTTGTGGAGGAAAGTACGAGTTTAGTTGGAATAGAATGGAACTGGAGAGTGTGGAACCGGAGAGGAGTATAAATGAGAAGAAGATATTTTATTAGAATTTATGTTATCGTTTGGAATTCCCCGAATTTACTCAACCGTATATCCACTGCACGGAGATCGAGATTCCAGGTTCATAATACTGTTTGGAAAATGGGGGAAAGAAAAATTGAAAAAAGAAAATATAAGTATCATACTATCATCATTTCAAACTCAAATAAATTGATAAATTAATTGATAATTTATTTATTACCAAATTTAAAGTTTGTCTAGCTTCTGTATTATAGCTTAAAAGTTAGCTAGTATATAATAAAAGTATTTGAAAAATTTAGTTGATAAGTAAATTGAATTGAAAAATTCTAACGGTCAAGCTAACTAAATAAAATATAAGTTAATTTATGGCATTTATCAAATACATTATGGGAAGATGTAACTAAAATTCATAGTTGATAAATGAATCTTAAACATATAAATAATATATTATTGTTGTAGCTGAAAAGTTAGTTCATATAAGAAAAATATTTGAAAGTTGAAATATTTTTTTTCAGAATTAATTCTGTTGGCGCTTTGTGTTTTTCAGTGTTCATTTCAATGTTTATTTTCATGTTATGAGTTATATTCTCTACTAATGAGAGTATTGTATTATCGTTGGTGCGATGTGGCCTCCATCGAGTTGTTCTTCCACGAGATTCAGCAATATGGTTGTATAACTATTGTTGTTGATGTAAATACGTATTTTTCTATATAATCCCGTCGTTTGGTTAAAAACAAAAAAAAGAAAACAAAAATTTCAACTACATCAATTTATTTAATTTTTTAGTTTTAACAAATTCGTCTTATGAAACTACGTTGACTTGAATAAAAAAGACGAATAAGTTAATAAAATATGTTATGCATCAACTTATATGATAATTATCAAACATACTTTTGAACTCCCTTTATCGAATTTTAAATTAGGCTTTAAAAATGTATTTAGATTTAGAACTAAGTAGAACAAGTATATCCACATGTGTATCGTTCTCTTCCCCAAAATCCCTAGTTTTGTCTTTTTTATTGCTAAGCAGATTATTTTTCATAGACTTTAGATAATGATGATGATATTCACTTTAGTAAAATATGCTGAAAATATCTTGATGGGGCCAACTAGCTTGAAAATTGACGGGGATTGGAATCTTCGTATATATAGTAAAATAAATATTAGTGGGTCCATTGGTTCTTAAATAATTCCATACTACTATAATACATGTATGCGATACGGGTGTTGAGTTAAGAAATATATGATATAAGTTATTACTATAATAAAAATTTTATTTAAAAAATTTGATGGACTAATTAATAAATAAAAAAAAAGAAATAAACAGTGGAGAAAGTGATTTGTAAATCATAATTTAAGAGATAAATATGAGAGAAAATTATAAGATGGTAAAATTAGTACTTACCCAAATTAATAAGGAAATTTGTACTGAGAAAAAAAAATAACAAAAGTAAATGTACATTTACCTAGTTTGAAGAAAACTATTTATGTCTAATACCAAACCTAATTTCAAAGTAAAATGAATATACAAACAACATTACGAAGCATATAATTTTTGTCATGTTAACATCCGAAACGTATGAGTCTGTTACTTATGCTCAACAAGTTTTGAAATTATATGTACGGAGGGATGTTACAAATGGGAGAATCTCCAGTGTAATGGAAGTTCTATTATCAATTGAAATATATGGTGAAAATAATAATAATAATAATAATAATAATAATAATAATAATAATAATAATAATAATAATCTTTTGGGATAATAATAATAATCTTTTGAGATATATGTGTAACAGTGTAAATGTAAAAGTAAATTAATCGTTGTCGTCTAAAAGTGAGTGAATGATTATATTACTATTTTTTTGTATTAAATAATAACTATGTCACAAATATACATCATAGCAGCTAACTTGTAATATTCGCAGTGTATGAATTTATCAACATTAAAATTTTAAAAAATTTATATGCAATTAATTATACGTCTTATTCTTCGCCTAATAATTACATATTTTGAATTTATCATTTAAAAAATATTATTACTTTACGATCTATTTAACACGAAACAATTGCATATTTTACGCGTAGTGATTGAATTAGCTTTAGGTAATGGAACTAATCTATACATAGAAATCAGATTGATTGGAGAAGAATTAATTATGTAAAATGACTAATATGAATAAAACAGTTATTTAATGCATTTTCAAATTTTTAATATAATTAGTATTCGAATTTATACATACTAGTACAACCCCGGTGTATTACACGGGCTTGTTAAAAAATTATTATTAAATTTTAAAATTAATGGAAAAATTATTTTAAAATTTATTTACTTGTTTACAAAAAATATATATTATTATATATTTTAGAATGACACTTGTTAGTTGTGCGACTTACATGTGCTATAATATAGTAATTTTATAACTTATTATCATATAACTATTTGAAATATAGATATATTAAATGATAAATAAATTTATTTTTCTAATTAATATTAAAAAACAATTTTATTATTGTTATAAAGTTAAATATAATTTTTTTATGCATATAATATGGATGTTAAATCGAAGTTAATCAAAAGATGATTAATTTGATATATTATATATGTAAAACTGATTAAAAAAAACTATTAACTTTTAAAATACATTTACAATTCAATTGTTATAATAAGAAATGATATTAAAATACAATTAATATATATAACATGACCATAAATAACCAACACATTTATGGATAATCCGGACCTAATTATTTTTAGATTGGAAGTAAATTAAAATAAGAGCATCCACAATGTTTTGGGTTCTTTCAAAAAAATATACGCGCCACGTAAGAAATAGACTCAGTCTAGAAAAATATATACTTCAATGCAAATGCAATTGGACTGGCTCCTGCTGATGTGGCAGCAAGAAAAATGAGACCCGATCTACCATTGGGTCTATCTTAGACCCAAGTAGAGACATAGTCTCCTTGCATTGGAGTTAATTTCATTACTTTTCTATATTTTTGTCCATGTCATCCAAGTCTTAAGTCTATTTAATGTCATGTAAGCAAAACTAGACCCAAAGCATTGTACATGCTCTAATAACAAAGCATGTAATTTTGTTACATATGATCACGAAGCATGCGAGCCTGTCACTTAGGCTCACCACATTTTAAATTAATATATAGGAGGGATGTGCAAATATAAGTAAAGTTATAAATTATATGTATGCATATAAAGTTACAATTATAAATTATATAATGATATTATATTATAAAATTTTGAACATTAGTAAAATAAACAATACATAACTATTTAACTGCAGATGAATCATTATAGTGATTTCATAAAATATAATGAATAATGTAATTTTTATAAGTTTGAGGGATCATGACAAATTGATTAACGAGAACAAATATTAAATTTACTATTATAACAATTGCTAATGTTATTTTTAGTGGTTTGACTATACCATTAAAACTACTTTAATAGAAAAAATATTCGATTAATGAGATAAAAATATAAGATAAGATCTTAGAATAAATAAATTAGAGAAAACAATATATATATATTTTTTTTATGTTTATGTAACTTTTATATACCATTTAATGTAAAATACTATTAATTAAATAATAATAACTATTATATGGTGAAATGGTTTAAAAAATATAATTATTACTAAAAAAAAAAAATGCATTGAACTATTTGTCTCTCTTTATAGTATATTTAGATTAGATATAGCCCTGAGTGCATTTTGTTTTATTCCAGAATATATATATTTGATAGAAAAATAGATTGTCTGACTTAAAAACTAGATCATTTGATTAATAAGTTTGTCCAACATTTTGTCTTTATCCATATCATTTAGCTTTGTTCATTGGGGTATAATCACAAGCATGGAATCTTACTTTTGATATGTACAAACTTTATTTATGGCTTTATTCTTTGGAATAATCTCATCCTTTTTCCTTTTAGATCCTACACCAGCTTTATGGCTGTGACAACTGACAGTTAACCCTACACTAGCTTTAGCTAAAACTAGTTTTCCACTTTTACTATGTGCTTGCACCAAAAAATGATATAAGAGAAAAGAAAGTAATTAAAAATATAAAATAAAATAAAATTTATAACTTAATAAATAAAAATATAATAATTTTAAAAAAGTTTAAATGTTATTAAACATTTCTTTATATACAACATTCGTGTTTTTCTTATCGCCATAATCTTCATCATAACAAATTATTATCGTTAAATTCCTTTTCTGGGATCTGATTTTTTAAAATATTTGACGTATCTTTGTAATATCCGAAAAAATATTTTTTTATTATTGTATGACTGCAATAGAAAGTAGAGATACTTGTAGTCATTTTTAATTATTTGTGAAATATGTATATATATAATACTAAAAAATATATAGTATCAAAATAAAAATAAAAATATTTTGTATTTCAGGACATAAAAAGGCATTACAGAAATGAACATATTCCACAATGAGAACTGTCAAATCAATAGTGTAATTGAAAGTTACATATTTTTGTTAAATGGTGAACATATTTTTATTAAATGCACACATATTTTTTATTAAATGAACTCATATTATTATTAATTGCTGGTTGAATGAAGTTTATTGAACCTTGCCTGCAATTATATCAATTATATATATATATATATATATGACTTTGAAAAATAAAAAGTCATTTTAAATCATTTGCTCTGTAGATCTACTATAGGCTAGAGTTTTCACTCCACTAACATAAAGAAAATAGAAAATTAACTAACTCTAGTAAAGAAGACTAAAAACTTTTTATTAAATTGTTTGCTTTATATTATACTCTACATAAACACGTCAATACAATTGTAAATCGTTTTCATTTCTATTTCCACAGGAATGAATATTACGACACATTTCGAACAAGCCAATGCAATATTTATCGGATAACTTTCATCTTGAAAAATTTAAAATGACTTAACAAAATAAATAATATTGCTAGTGTACACTTCATCTAAATGATCCGTTAAGATAGATAGAGGTAAAACCAATTTAAAAGAAAATAAGAAACTAAGAGAAAATCATGGCACATTGAAACTATATGTTGCGTAATAATGTTTATACTAGTAGAATTAGAAAACTTTTGTAAAAAATATTAAATTTTTTTATTTTTTAAAAACTAAAATAATTTAATTTTATATAAAATATTACTTTGGGTTATAATTAAATTGTCAAATTATATATTTTTAATTATAATAATTAAACACTCGTACATTAAGTGAAAATGTCAACCAGTGTTGAATTTTTTTACTTATATCATATAAAAATATCGATATTATTTATTATTACATAAGTAAAAAATATATATCTTAAATAAATAGAAATAATATGGTGATATGTATATGCATAAGTGTAGAATATGTTTATTTAATATTAAGCAAAATAGATTAATTTTTTTTCCTTAATTAGATGCCTAATACATCATGTGTTGTATCAGTCGTGTTTCACAGTTTTTTAACTTTATATGTAATTTTAGAATTTATATAAATAATTATTTGTTTTTATTACATTGACAATATACCAATTAGATTTGAAATAAATATCATTTTTAAAAGAATACATACCAATTTCTATTACTTTATAATATAATTTATAGTTTTATTTGATATAATTAATTTAGTTTGATAAATGAATTTAAATTTATTTATATGGATGTATATTACTGTTTTGTATTATATATATATATATAAATAAATTGTAAAATACAAACGGACTTTATAATATCAATTCAAATGCAACACACTAATTAAGATTTTTTTTTTCTTGACAATATTAACTCTATTTAATGGATGTTATGGGAAACGATGAAGATAGGATATGAAGAGACACTGTGTATTAGATAGAGGGTTAAAAATTGAAAAATTTGAACAAAATATCTCAAATGACATTTATTTTATCAATTGTCAATTAAGCCAAAGTGACAAGTAATAAAAATAGGAGGGAGTATATATTATTATACATTTTAGTATGACACATGTTACTTGTGCGACTTATATGAGTTATATTATAATAAATTTTCTACCTTATAACATATAACTACATTAAACATAAATATATTAATTGATAAATAATTTTATTTTATAATTAGTTTTAATAAATTATTTTAATTATTATTATAAAGATAAATATAATTTATTTATTTTATATATACAATATGAATGTCAAATCGAAACTCATCAAAAGATGATTAATTTGATGTATTATATATGTAAAACCGATAAGAAATACAAAAGTTATCAACATTTAAAATATATTTGCAATTCAATAGTTATAAGAGGAAATGATATTAAAATACAATTAATACAAATATTATTTTATATCCAAGCCCAACTCCCAAGCATGATTTTTTGCCAAATAGGATTCTGAAGCATGAGAATTTGCCACGTAGGCTCAGCGCATTCTGAAATTATATATAGAGGGGATTTTTAGAATAGTGCAAAATACAATATGAGTAAATTAAACTCACATATTAATTTTTTTCTTTTGGGTAATTTTTTATGTCCAATTACCACTTTAGTCATGTTGTCTTGAATATAGAAAAGAATTTTCGGCTCATTAGTTTTAGGATCCTTACCATCCACTGGCACTTTTAATACGAGTTCTTATAAACTCACATATTTCTATTTGAAAATTTCAACCAGACTTTTATTTTAACCGTTAAATCAACACACTTCAGTAATTTTTTGAACTGTTAGATCAACATGCTCGAACAATAAAAATCAGTGAGATTAAGTACAGTTGAATTTAAATGACCATTAGTTACAAATGGTCACAAATTTAAACCCATTTGGACCTTTATTATTTGACATAATCACAATAGCTTTATTTGAAATTCATATTAGTTACACACATAAAAAAAAATAAAAAAAAATTACAAGAGAATGCCAAGCAAATAATTTTGATTTTCTTTTAGAAGTGTTATTAGATGTAAGATTAAGGTGAAATAATTAAATCTGTTGTCATGTAAACATAAATAAAGCCTGATAGATATAAAAACGTAAATGGATGAATTATATATATATATATATATTTTTTACAAAAATGTAATATGATAAATTATTTTTTAATAAAAAGTTAAAGATTATACTGACAAGATTGAAAAAGAAATGGGTGAATAGTACTCCCTCTTATTTTTAGTAACTGTCGTTTTGAGAAGTTGCACAGTAATTAAGATTATTTTTTTGTCAATAATAACCCTCAATAATGAGGATAGAGATGGATGTTTTGAGAAAAGATGAAAAGTGAATATGAAAACACATAATATATTTATTAGCTAGATGAGAGTAATAATGAAAAAATATGTACAAAAGATCCAAAACGTCATTTATTTAGGTAATTGTTCATTAGGCCAAAATGACATTTAAAAAAAAAATAAGAGGGAGTATATGTTTTATTTGGAGACAGAAAAAATCTTGAATCCAGCCACCTAGTTAAAATTAATGGTTGAGAAAATCAAAGATAGGGCAATAATTTAGTAGATCCTGTCTAGTAGAACCCTAATTGGGATTGTACCTATAGGTTAGTCGGTACCAACAAAATTCAAATTTCAAAAGGAAATTCACATGCAAATATTTCGACAAACCCATAGTCAAAGTCTCAAATCAAGAAAAGATCTCCCAAAGAGAAAAAAAGAGCCCATAAGAAACAGCAAATCTCATGTTGCCCAAAAAAGACTTTGGAAAACTGAAAAAAGTTTTCAATTTCATCATATGATACTTAAAGCTGAAAAACAGTTTATATGTACTAGAAATCATGGTTTTTGGGAAATCAATCAATTATAGTCACTTCAAACATTTTAACTAAGCTATTGGTGCTTGTCAGCGAAAAATACACAAAAGTCTGGACTAATCACACCTCCGTAAGGTCAAGCGAAAATGTCGACAATTGAGGAATTTCATGCTGAAATGTGTCTTTCTAATTCATTTTCTGAACGGCCGAGTCTCGACTCCACGAAAATCATCTAGGGGTCGACACACGTCCCATCTGAGACTGTTGGATATAATATAAAGCGATCAAATTTTCATCTTCAGTCGCCAAATGTTCAAAAAATTAAAAAAAAAAAAAAAAGATACGCATTTGTCATAATTTTAGTTTCGAGACTATCAATCCACAAAACCATATAATAGGAATATCTAATAAAAACCAAAGGTCGGATTTGAAAACAGAAAAACAATTCTATCATAGCCTGATTTTTTATTTTAGAATTCATAGAGAGCCAATTAGTAAGAGGTATGAGAATTTGTGTTCATTTCTGGACAACAGTAGCTTCTTTTTATGCTTTTCCATGCAGTAGTCATGTAAGGAACGCAAATTTTTCATTTTCTTCAGTAGCATGAACAAAAAAAGGGGAGAATAAAGAAAAGGGCTACAAGCAACGAGCCACCATGAAAAGAACGAGAGCCCGAAAGTGTGATAATACCTGAGCAGCATATGATCCGCTTTCAGCAATAAACTGGACAAAATCTTTCTTTTTTAACTCGTAGTTGAACTTTTCACGGTCTAATAGTGCCTGCTCTCGTTGCATATCTTCCAACGCTCGCTCCTTCTTCCATTTTGTCTCCTTAAGTTGATTTTCAATTTCGAAATAGGTTGCTGGGAGAGTCCTTTTCGAGTCACTGGGGAACTTCACATCTATTTCCATCCTAACACGAGATAAAACCAAAATGTAAATAAGCAAGGGAAAAAGAGCAGAAGTGCGCGCTTGTACATGAAAACTCAGGGGATGATTACAATTTACAATTACTAGCATAAAGGGTGCAATTTCTAAGGAAAAACAAATGTTGATGAATTTCTTTATAATTTCGAAAGCTTTATTTTCTCTCGCTTAGCAATTTGAAAGCCATTCCTCGTTTTTGATACAATAGATAGACAAAACAGGGGAAAAAATAAATAAGGTNAAAAACCCATCAATTTGTACTAAAAATGTGAAAGATGAATATATCAAGAAAATGTAGTCTTCATAAAAAAAATTCAACAATTATGAATTTAGGTCAAGCTTCTTACTTATGATGACCCAAGGAGAACAACCCGGGACTTCTTATCAACCCTCCATCGAGAGATATGGCTCCATGTGCTATATAAGACCGAGCCTTTAACATGTCACCTCTTGATCTGTATACTTGCAAGTCCGAGAAAAGGTAATAGAATAGCGTCTCTCTCAGACTGTGTTTGTTTTTCGGGGTACAGTATAAGTAAGTGCCATCAATTTTCACCATATTTACAGCAAAACCAAGAAATCCAGCTGGAGTCTCCCCACTAGTTGTTCTTGGCTTCAAAAGATCAAGCCTCCGTTGAGTGTCATCAGCTATTATCTGACCAGAATACGGTCTGAATAAGAAATTCCAGAAGAGAAATTATAAATTATTAAGGTGAATTAGGTATATGAAGCTAACTGGTTGGCTTCAAAACAAAGACCTCACGACCCACACACAAAACGCACACCTCAGATTTTCAAGACAAATGACAAGGAATCGTTCATCCAGAAGCCGTCCAGCTAATGCAGCTAGTGCATGCACGCCCGAACCTTTATTAATCGAACCATCTTTGGTGTATCCCTCAAGGGCTTTGACTCCTTCATAGGTCTTGCAGACCACTGCTAACATTGTTTCCAAACCCAAATACTCTGATAGAAGCCTAAAATACAAATTAAAACAATAAACATACAGATAAGTGTGTTTTCGTTTTCTTCTGTTTTGTAGTTTCTCAAATACCATCCCTGCATATTCTAAATTCCACAATCTTTACCAGAAATGCAAAATATAAATTGTTTCAATTATCTTCATAAACTTATACTTCTTTACTCACTCAAATTTATTTGTTTTCATTCATTTTTCTTTCCTTTTTTTCAAAATAAAAAGACTCCTCGCGCATCGTGCATGAATTCGGCATTGCGTGCGTTGGAATGAAAAGGAAAGGTAAGATAAAACAGCCAACCTGCTAAGGTTAGCATCGTCAACTTTTCCCAGTATAGCAACAACACCAAGCACATCTTCAGTCAACGAGTGATCAGAGGCCTGAGCTTCACGGTTATATTTCATCTTACACAACATGGCTACTGCAGAATTCTCGTACTTCAGGATTTGCTGAAGTACATCTTCCTCACTTTCCACTGAGGCAAGACCTTCATTTCCGCTTCCAGATAAATTTCCAATATGATACTTCCCAATAGCAACTGCATAGACAAGTAGGTTGGAAGACCACATGAAGATTGATCACTCGAAAAGTAAATACAATACTATATTGAGACTTATATAGCAGTCATACAAGAGAGCTACACAGATGTAACATCCTTGCAACTTCACGAAATACCTAAGGATGGTAAGTTCTGGATATAAAATCTATTCAAGATTTTGGCCAACGAGGCTGTCATAAAGGAATATGGAAATTTGGATACCTTGCATATCAAGGATTGACCCATCTAATCTATTCTTCAGACATCTTAAGTATTTGATATTGTCTTCATGGTGCTTAATTCTTTGACCAAGTTCCTGCAAGTCATCTTGAAGTTTCTGCAACACTTAAGTCAATTCATGTCAGTACTCAATCTATTCCAAAAATCATACTAAAACAAGTTACACAAGCAAGTTTTCTTTTCATTTGATAACCAAGACAAAAAAACATCGAACACAATATTCATACGCATTAGGCAAGAACTTTACTATGCGATATAAGACGAACCTGAGAGTGGTTCACCACTGACGCGGGGGACTGAATATCGACTCCATTTTGTATTTCTTCCTTTATACAGGGAGAATTTTGTCCAAGGTGCCTTAATGCTGATGGGTCAGGGACAACCAGTGCCCTAGATTGGATTGACATCTGGTATTGCAGCATCACTAATCAGCCATAAATACCACTAACATACATGCAAGCACATTGCACATATACACACTTTATGGGTATCAGGAACATCCATGCAGAAAAGTATATGCAATCTAAAAGTTTCTTCAGGAAATGACATTTCGTCAAGCCTATAAGGGTCCTCTGCAGATCATACAATTAAGGGTGTGATTGAAAGCCATCTCATTTGAAATTATTCGTCAAAAATTTTATTAGATTTTTGCAAAAGGTTTAAAAAAATCACCCCATTCACTCGCTTTTTCACTCTTATCTTCCACCAATACGTTCAGCTGAGTTCTTTTTAAATAATCACCAACCATAGTTACAGATTAACCACAAATTTCAATACCCACAACTCACTTACCCACATATCAATGTTTTACTGGTTCTACGTCTAATCAACTTCAGGCATTTTACTTGGGTCATATATATTCACACTCCCAAAACATTTCATTCATTTCCCCCAACATTCTCCGACCAACTGAAATTTTCCAAACTTAATTATATCCGCCCTAAGTTCTTAAAAAGCTGAAAATATTACATGGCGCAAAAACCCATAAGATGAGAAAGCCAAAAGTAAAAACTACTAACTGAAGTTAAAAAAGATATAACTCAAATTTCCCAACTACACAAATTTCTTATAATCCTCCATCTCCATTGATGTTGCAACTTACACACAAAAGACCATAATTGGGAAACAAAAAAAAAAGCCAAAACTTATATCGACAAATCATAATTCAGAAACGTTTCTACATCCACATTTGGAATTTTTCCCAAATTCGATCCCGGGCTCGAAACCTCAACAGCTTTTCCACACAAACACGTTTGCATGCTTACTGCTTAGAATATAGAGTTCCCCTTACTTTCCACAACGCCTAAACAGCTTGCATAAACCTTGAGGCTTGAACCTCGGTTCTTACATAAATAACGAAATTCAAATGAACTGACGCGAGTAAAAAATAGAATAAAAAATGGGAACAAACCGGGGTTAGCTGCTGATTATCCATCAACATCCGTCGCAGATCGCCTCCGCCTGACATCACCGGCCGTCACGGTGGCGGTGGCGCTGCTGAGGAGCCTGAGAGAGTGAGAGTAGACACTGAGCAAGTAAAGAGAAGAAAAAGGAAAAAGTATATATTATTATTAGTTTATTGTTTATTAAAATCAAAATTCCATTCTGAAAAAATGTTGTATTTTAAGCCCAATTATACCCCTGCAATCAATTTGAGCTTGACGGGTCGGATATAGGATCCACCAACCTATATGTTAAGCCCAATTATACCCCTGCAATCAGTACATTTGAAAACGGTAAGATGAGGCCCATTACAATTTTCTGCTTTTTATATTATTTTAAATAATTGAAGATTATATTATAGTTTACTGCATTTTGAAACACTTTTCAGTTTATTAAAATATTTTTTGAGTTTTTAAAAGATTTAAATTTATTTTAATAGGTTTTTGGACAGTTACTTAAGCTTCTGATCGGAGGTTTGGACTTTGGAGTCTTCACATGGGCTTGATTAATCTTTAAAAGTAAAATTATAATCAAATTATGTGTTGAAAAAATTATTATTATGAGCATTGAAAAAAACAATCAGATTTGTTTTTAGATGCTTAGATTCACTACACATAATTATATTTCAAATGAATTTTCTTTTTCTTTCAATTTTGTATTATGGATGTGAGGTTACCTGAAGATGAAAACGTAAAACCCAAAGATTTTTTTTTAAAGATTAATTTGAGATTAGGATTATATATGAAATAAAAAAGTAATGATTAAGTTGTTATAATGTAAAAATAATAAAACATTGATTGATAAGATTGGTAGTTATAAATATACAAATGGATAAATATTATTTTTATCAAAAAATAAATAGAAATAATGATTTATATTTTTTTTATTTGTATTAGTGAAATTGTACAGAATTTTGCATTAGTGAAATTATGCTGGGAAACAGTGAGATGAGATTATGATATATATATATATATATATCATTTTTAATTTCAATAAGATAAATTTTAGTTCGACAAACAAAAATAAAAAAATTTGTATCCAATCGCATCCAATAAGTAGTTCCAGTAAGACACACATTATTCCACAAATATGATATCTTGCCAGGCCCAAATTCCACAGTACAAAACAGGACCACACATTCACAATAAAAGTGATTTCATGAATAAAATAGATTAACTTCGTTCTGTTTTTATGTATAACCGATTTTGTCTAATATAATCAATCACTTCATCATCTGTCAAATACTTCACAGACAATCCTCTTGAAATGCAGTCCCTGTAAATGAAAATTTGAAAAATACGTAAAAGATTCCTAAAAAAAACTTTCTTTTTGATCAGATTCAATTATTTGCAATTTGCATGACATTCATGAACAAAGAAAGTTATCAATTTTTTCATATCCCTTTTTCTTTTTACCTTAGCCCGGTTGAACTAATCCCATTTGGTACCACTTCATCGACGATTACAATATTATCCTGCAAAAAGAATGATGTAAAAAGTCAGTACTGAAAAGTTAAGATTCAGTGTTAATTTTCACCCTAAAATGTTCGTTTGGTAAATAGTAAATGCATACCTCGAAGAGTATATTTTTCTTTATGTATTTTTTCATATAAACAGTAAAGGTAATAAGATGGATTTACCTTGTACTCGGTCAAAATATCATCCTTAGATATAATATTCTCAACATCTTGGCCACCTCTCTGTATACAAACCAACCCAAAGTCTCGACAAATAGTTCGGACCTAAAGAGGTTAAATAAAACACATGCATAAGTGATATAATGCCCTGCAGAATTGAATTTCAGTCACCAATTTATCATGTGAGGTCTATTGAAACCAAATTATAATGAAATAAATTTATTTTTCCTTAAATAAAAATAATAAAATAATGCTACGAAAAAGTTGAGAAAGTGTGGTGTCTATTTAATTTAACAGTGGAAAAGTGAAAATCGAGGAATAATATCTAAAATTTCAGCTATCGGTAAAAAACATATAGTAATAGTTGAATTTGCATGTTAAATCAACCAAAAGCTAATCATACAGAGAATTGAATTTCGTTATTACCTGATCACGAATCCAAAATCCAGGAATACTGAAGGATTCTAACAGATCAGAACCACAAACGAGCAAGACCTTAAGTGACTCTACAACCAACCAAAAAAAGAAAAAAAAAACTAAAAAAATATTAACAGGATAAACAATTCTCGTGCTAGGATAAAAGTGATAAAATATGATGTTTCATTAAGTTCACAGTTAATGAAGTAAACAATGAAAAATGACAGCATGGTAATTCATGAGTGGTTTTTAAATCTTACCGCAGGATACAATTTCACTCTCACGTAATGAGTCCCTAACTCTAGACAAAATCGTTAACGTGCGTTGGTAAGAGCTTTGACTTGCCTGTAGCAATATAAACATTAGTACCTATTAGTCAATACCATCACAAAAATAACAAAAAGGCTCATATATTTGAACTACGAAAATTTGGATAGTCACAGAGAGAGAGAGAGAGAGAGACCTCCCACGAATCTACCATCACGAAATCGGAACTTTTACAAGCAAGAGTACACATTGCAACACGATGTTCAGCTTGTACGAGACCCTGAAGAAGTAGGTAGGAAATAATAAATATAGTCTTCTCATCATCCTAAAAAAGGCTATCATATGACAGAACCTATGAACTTTCTTTTCGAACAAATAAAGATTAAATTTTGAACATAACCACCATCTTGCATTTGACTAACAAGGAATGTTCCAATACCAAATACTGTAACTAAATACCCAATCACAAGTTATGACAGTAAATAAAAAATAACATACAAATACATCAAATAAACAAAAAACACATTTTGCTGCAACTAAATAAATTGAAGATTCAAAAGGCCCTCTTCGGTTTCCACAGTCTACACACCATTGTATTTAAAATATCACATTGATTTTAAAATCTTCGAAACAACTGAATGAATATTCACACAAACATAAACACCTTTTTCTTGTATGCATCATTTACAGGCGACATGTAACCCCCAGTGACACAAAAGCCTTTCGATATTAGAGCATCTCTTGCTAATTCTGATCATCAAAACAAGAAGCAAAAAAATCAGTGCACTCATTAACTTTATTTTCATGCAATTGCTACATAGCCTACATTCGTCAATTTACAAACTACAGACAAAATAAAAAAGAAGTGAAATTTATATTTTGGGCAGTGAAGTGATATGCTTACCAAAACAGCGCAAGTGCATGTATGTAGGAGGATTAAAACTTCCAGTTGATACCAAAACGACAAACAGCTTCCCCCTGTATGAGAGATATGGCCGAGATACTTTAAATCAATCTCACAATTAAAACTTTAAGGTATAGTTTCCCTTCCAAAAAGAAGAAAAATAAGGTGGAAACAAAAATTTGAATGCATTCCTAGCAAAAAAAGAAAAAAAGGGAAAAATGTGAATTGAGGGTGAAAAAAAAGGGGAACAAATAATTATGGCAAAATTACTTGCTCCTGGAGCTTGATAAACCGTCTTTATCGATATAACCCAAGGATAATTTATCCAATGGCAGCGCTACGTCTACATTACCACAGAAACACGATGAGATTTTGAAGCAAGGCCAAATCTTTATGTGTTAAAAATGAAAGACAAATAAAAAGTGGGGGAAAAGCCTGGAGTTGGAGCAGCCATTGAATGAGAGTTATAAACTTCTCTCGGGCAAAAGCGCGAACAGGTTGCAAGCAAGCGCGAATGCAGCAAATTTTCAGTATAACCTCCTAGCTCGCTATATACAAAGTAGCAAAATCCTTTATAAATTTCGAAGAAACTGGGAAATCTTGCTGTAAGAAAAATCTTCCAGCAGCGATCGATATTGACTTTTCCTTAAAATTTTTTGAGTGGTTGGGTCGAGATCCATATGAACCATATAAATAAAGACTCATGGGCCGAGCCCAACTAAACATGTCATTAGACATGGCCACATCCCAGGCCCTGAGCCCGGTTGGTCTCCGGGCTCAAAAACACTTACCCTGAATCAGCCCATATCTAGGTATGGGCCGAGTACACGACCGGGTCAGTCCGGATCCCAGACTCGTCTTAAAAGAAATAAAAAAAAAATTATGAAAATCGTTGTTTTTCCTTGGGTCGGCCAGGCCCGAAGGGTTATATCTTCAGAGTGGTCGACCCTGAATCGGCCCGGTTAAAATCCAAGCCGAGTTTAGGCCCTGCGGCCCGTGGCATGTCTATATTGCATTCATAATTGGCACGTATATGCACGTAACTTATTAGGAGTGGACAAAATCCAAATAGAAAAATTGAGTCCAATCGTGCAATTGTGTGCTGTTTGGTTAAGATTTGTTAATTTTGAAATTTTGTTTAATTGGGCTGCCGAAACCGGTTCGACCGGCCGGACACCATGTTTTTTTTTTAAATAAAATAATATTATTATAAATTATTATGTTATATAATCAAAATAATTTGTTATAAATTGGACGTTAGAATAAAAAAAAAACTCATTCAACTGAAGTTTAGCAAAACAAAAAAAAACCATTCAACTTAAAAATGAAAAAAAAAGTACCATTGATGCGATTTTCGATTGTTCTGTAACACGAACGTGCCTGTCTTTGCAATCAAAAAATTATGTATTGATTCAGGGTCTACTAACACCCTGAATAATAATAATTAGTAAATATTTTTTTTGCTAACAAATTACATATATATTTTTTAACTTTTTTTGCTAACAAATTACATATATATTTTTTAACTTTTAATTTAAAAAATAATTAGTAAATATTCTTTAACTTTTTTGAGTGAAAATTAATTATTATTAAAAAGTGAATTTTTTTACCCCATTAAATAGTGATTAATTAATTTAATAATTATTATTCTTCTGATAATTAAAAATATTTTTTATCCAATAAATTAATTAATATACTTTTTATTTATTAATATAATATTTTTTGTTTTAAATTATATTAATTTTTTTTCAAATAAATTAATTAATATAAATTTTTTTATTAATATATTATTTTTTCGTTTTAAATTAAAATAATTATAATTTTAAATTATAATTTATAATNTGGGACCCCACAAAACCCCACCAGCTTCTCTTTTTTCGCGCGTCTCTATACACACACCAACTGCTTTGCACTTCCAGATTTGTTTTTTTCTGTTTCCTTTTTTCCTTTTTTTGGGGGAAAAAAATAATCAAGAAAAGATCGATCCTTTGCTGCCTCACTTGGGTTTTCTCACTCTCACTATCCCTCCCCCAAATGGAGGCTCTAGCAGATCGCCCCATCAAAAATTCACCTCCGAAAATCATCTGAAATCGCGGTTTTTAGCTCCGCCGCCGGTGTCCGGCGAGTTGGCTTTGCTTATGGGCTTTCGAGATTCAGGGAAGCTCGTCGCCGGCTGTGCTGTGTGAAAACGAGGTCGTACGCTGAGGATAAAAATGGAGGAGGGGATTTGGTTAGCGACAGTAGCAAAAGTGCTGGGAATATGAAGCAAGATCAGGGTCTTTTGCTCGGGGCTGAGAGGAACAGCGCCGGCTCTATTGTTGGGTTCAATTTGGTTGCTCGCTCAGGTGAGAAATTAGTGATTGGGAAAGCCCATTTTTGGGTTTTGTTGTTTAATTGGTTGTTTTGTTGGGTACCTTTTTTGGGTTCGTTGGACCATTTTTGTGTATTTCATTTTTGTGCTGCTGTTGTTTACTAACACGATCTGTGCGTGGGTTCTTCATATGTTTAGTAGTTTGTGCAACTGAGTACTTGAGTCATAGTGTACAATTTAGTATATTATCTTTGATGTTAACTGTACTTGGGGTTCACACTGTTTAGTGGAGTAGGCGATGAAAAACCGAACAGAGTCGGAGGATCCTGAGCTATCTTTGTTGTAGCTCGTTTTTTGTTGCACAGTGAATCTGAATTATGGCTTGTGATTAGTCGTTGAAGAAGATAAGTGAAAAGGTTGATGCATGGACATGGGTATTTTTCATTAAATTGCACTTCATTGTTTTTCTTCTCATGTTGACAAATTGCGGTCCTATCTCGGTATCGTCTCTGTCTGTCTTGTGCAGGAGTACAGTTTGTTGCTTAATCTAATATCCTAGGATTGTTAACCATTGACCGAGATGCTTATTTACACATTTTTTTGGATTTTGTTTTGGATTTGAGGTAATTTGTGTGAGTTTTATATGTAAAATGACAGATATCATGATTTCTTAGGTCAACTTCAACTAACTTCAGCAATCAGCAGTGAAAAAATCCTTGAATCTCAAGAAACTGAAGGTAAAGTAGGAGAAAATCCATCTGAAGACGTTGAAAAAGATGAGGAAGCTTCAATTCGGATAACATACAATATAATTTTCGTAACTTCCGAAGCAGCTCCATATTCGAAAACCGGAGGCTTGGGAGATGTTTGTGGCTCTTTGCCTATAGCATTAGCTAAAAGGGGACACCGTGTAATGGTTGTCTCTCCTCGGTATTTGAGTGGAAATTCATTGGATAAAAGATATTCGAATGCTGTTGATACCGAAAGGCGGTCGAAAGTCGACTGCTTTGGTGGTGTGCAGGAAGTTGGATTTTGCCATGAGTACAGGGCTGGAGTTGATTGGGTAAAAACACATTAAATATCGTGAAATTAGTAAGTTTTGTTATAATTATTGAACAATATATAAGAAAAATAATAGGATGTCTTCTCATCGTAAACATATGGTAAGAATAGTTAAAACTACATCTTAAAATTTTGAAAATGGAAATTTTTACTTATCTTGCTCGATCATTTATGATCCACAATCTTATTTTGTTTTTGCTTGTAGGTCTTTGTTGACCACCTTCCATACCACCGCCCGGGAACTCCATATGGCGATACTTATGGTGCTTTTGGTGATAACCAGGTAAAGAAAGTGCTTTTTTCTCCAAGAGGAAAAATTGATATTTATTTGCTTATTTTGACTTTGATGATAATAAATCAAGTGTTATACTTTCTTTCTCTCTTTGAATAGTTCCGCGTTACATTACTTTGTCATGCGGCATGTGAAGCTCCATTAGTGCTGCCGTTGGGAGGGTTTACTTATGGCGAAAACTGCCTATTTCTTGCAAATGACTGGCATGCTGGCCTAGTTCCTGTGTATGTAACTTACTATATTATGTCTATTTTTTGCCAATAGAATTACTCAGAGATAGTCATGCAAGGATCATGTGTTCTAAGTCTTGCAATGACAGCGTATTATATGTTAAATAACAATTAAAAAAGGATTAAGATGATCAATATGCATTCTTACTAGTGTCTTTTTGTTTTTCTCTCTTCTTTCCTTTCCAAAGCTGGATATAAGTGGTGATATTCATCTGTTCGTATAATTTCAGACTATTGGCAGCTAAGTATCGTTCTCATGGTGTTTATAAGGATGCTTGAAGTATCATCGTAATACATGACCTAGCTCATCAGGTAAGTTCCTTCGTATTCTTCAGATTCCACTTAACTTATTTGTCATAAGAAAAATTACAATAAAACCAAACAATTATTGTTTCCCTTACAGCGGGACATAGAAGAAATTTCATCGCTCTTGATGTTTGCTCATCTAGTACACTCTTTTCAATGCGGAACAACGTGTTTTTCAATGCGGCTAAAGTTCTCCAAAATTTGGAAGAAACGAGAGTGGTGGAGACTAAAGGAGTTTGTGAAAAAAAAGTAGATGACATGAGAGTAAAGAGAATTTTTGTGTGGTGACTTTTGTCCCACAGCGGACACACTGTAAGAATATGTGGAGCTTGAGGACTATAAAGAAATAGACTGGGCTGTGTTTAAAGTCACCTTTGCGCTTGGGGCAATGACGCAGCTAGTGAGGTTCTAACCGAGGCGCGTCTATTGCTAGTTGATAACTATTCCCAAACCCCCTCTTGGGCCTGGGTTTCACCTTGGCCCTCGAAATTTCTGGAAGGGCTCCCTTTTATTAGGGCAGCCCTACAATATTAGTCCAATTTTTTTGTGGAGTTTCTAATTGTGCCGTGTCATACGGCCTGGGATCAACTCTAAAAGTTTCGTGAAAACAAGAAACTAACGGCCGAAAGACCAACAAATATATTCCCGAAGTTAAAGTATATTTATTTGTTTTATAAAGGTTTATCCAATTTCTGACAAGGACAAAATTTACTTTAAATAGATTGATAAAATTAAAAAAAAGAAAAATTCTTTATTAGCTCATGCCTATTATTTTTTTTCGAACGTGGTACTTTCGATATGTTAATCCAATATGGGTGTGAAGAATAAAATAATTTGGTTTAGAAAAATACCGTCTCCAATACATTCATATTCATTCGTTATGTATAATTTATTGGGTCATTGTTTCCAGCTAGCACGTATTAAAATGGAAATAAAATAATTTATCGCACGATATTAAAACTCAATACAATTTTCACCTGCAACACCTACACTATCTGAACTGTTACACCAATTCATACAGCAAATGATATTTTTGACAGAACTACAATGAGATATTACATAATTCCAAATTCATTAAGAATTAGCCTCTAGTCGTCCCAAGCTCTCGCTTTTTCTTGTGCAGCATCATCATCATCATCTTCATCCTGGCTTGGTCTCGGTTGCCTGTTGTCATTGTACCAAGACGAGTTAGCTTCTTCCATTAGCTTCACGTTTCTTTCTTGCCATTTGTTCATTATCTCCATTCCTTCAAACCCGCTTCCTATATGCTCATCGTCGAAAATTTTATTCGACCGCTTATCCACCCATCAATGATTATATATTTATATAGTTTGAGGTAAAAATATTAGCCATATATTAGAGCATGTAACCCCCAATGACACAAAACCTTTCGATATTAGAGCATCTCTTGCCAATTCTGACCATCAAAACAAGAAAAATAAAATAAAATAAAATCAGTGCACTCATGAACTTCATTTTCATGCAATTGCTACATTCCATCAATTAACAAACTACAGACNAGTGAATTTATATTTTGGCCGTGGGATGCTAACCAAAACAGCGCAAGTGCATGTATGTAGGAGGATTAAAACTGTTAGAGTAGAATACCCGGTGTTCTAATCAAATTGAATACAGTTTACTTGTTAATACAATTTATTGGAATTTATATTAACTAAAAAGGCATTACTTTACATTATGAATATATATATATATATATATAAACATATGATAAAGTCCCTAAATCATTAATAGCTATAAGACATGGTTACGCATTGGATGGTAATCATAGAAGATGCCTTGAAAACAATGATCTTAAATAAAGTTCCAAGTCAATGGGTATTTCGAGATGGGATATCGAAGAACTCGGTAAGACTTGCACATACGATGTATGCTTGTTGGACAAGAATATTGCATTCCATCAGCATTAGCGTTCGACGCAAATACATATATGTGGGTGTTTGTTAGGGAACAAGTTCACTGAGCATGACCGGATGAAAATTCTTAAATGGAACTTTTTATTGTCGAATAAGAATTTTCATATTGCAATAGTACATGATTGATCCTTTGACTTGAGGCACGATAGTAATCTTGTGCATGTTATGCTTTATTTTGATTTATCCTTTGATTACTGGATAATCATAAAAGGGATATTTTGGATATTGTAATAATATGTATGGAGATTTATCTCTAGCCAACAGAGAATTCGACACTTATATGGATATTGAAGTTTACTCTCGACCCACATGAACCATGTAAATAGACTCATCGGACGAGCCCAACTAAACATCGCATTAGACATGGCCAAATCCCGTGCTCGAGCCCGGTTGCTATCTGGGCTCAAAAACACCGACCCTGAACCGGCCTTTATCTAGGTATGGGCCGAATACGCGACCTGAAGGGGTTGGACCGGGTCAATCTGGATCCCAGATTCGTCGTAAAAGAAACTAAAAAAAAAAAATTGAAAATTGTTGTTTCCTTAGACCGGCCAGAAGTCATATCTTCAGAGTGGCCTGAATCGGCCCGATTAAATTCCAAGCCGGGTTCGTGCCGAGTTTAGGCTCGGTAGCCCGTGGCCATGTCTACATGGCATGCATAATTGGCACTTATATGCACGTAACGTAATAGAAGTGGACAAAACTCAAATAGAAAGATTGGATTAATAGAAGTGGACAAAACTCAAATAGAAAAATTGGTCCAATCGTGCAATTGTGTGTTGTTTGGTTAGGATTTTTTAATTTTGAAATTTTGTTTAAATTGATTTTTTTCTGTACAAATTCATTACTATTTTTATATAAGTTTGTTTGTTTCTCGGTTCGGTGAAGTTTCATAGTGACTACACCGGTAATCACCCATGTAAATAATTTTGAACAAGATTAACTATGCAGTAAAAGTGATTAAAAGAGTAAAAATACAAAATTGAATGGATTAATTTTAAATTTGTGAATGAATATAACATAAGATGTAACGATTAAAGTGATGTAGTATAAAAATGATAATATAATGACTTTTAATGATTGATAATTAAATATGATATTGAACAAATAGTAGAATTTGTTGAAAACATGTAGTAACAGTTGAATAATGTTTTTAATGGTGTTAATATGAGTGAAAAGGGGAAAAAAAATAGACACAATGTTCTTTCATTCAAAAAAATTACATTAAATCATAATTTGAAAAAAAAAAAAAATTTGACTAAGACGAAACTTAAAAGTTTTTGAGCGCGATTGTAACAGATTAAAATCAATTTTGATTGGATTGTGGCTAAATGGTATTAATTTTATATAAAAATGATTGAGTTGAGGATTAAGTGAAATTTTGAGTTTGTATTTAAATAATATTTAAAATGTAACGATTGAAGTTGATGTGACGTAAAAATATGAGAGATATGACTGAAAGTGATAGGTAGTTAAAAATATGTAAATAGATGAACATCAAATTAAAGTTGATGTTAACTGAAAACATATATGAATGCACACATTAAAACATAAATGAATACACGCATACTATTACACCTTTTTTTTTGTCGAAACGGCAATTATATTAAAAACTAAAAAACTCGAAAGAGTACAAACGGGGGGTGTCAACTAATACAAAAGAAACCATTAAAACTTTGACCTACCCCACTTGGAACAACATAGGTATCATATGGGGTACAACCTCCATTAAGGAGATAAAAAACAACGCCAAAACACGACTGCATAAAAGGAGACTACAACTCCATAAACGAGACTGGACGTCAGACGTCGCTTGACTTAACGAAACAAATCAAAAAACTAAAGCAACACACACCTAATACACAAATAGAGTTAAACCTCCACTAACCTAAACTGGCAACCGAGTCACACACCATAACTAAGAAACCAAACAGATGAACCAACTAGACACCAAACTCCAAAAACTGCAGTCACTCAAATCGCCTAGACAAATTTTTGGACCAAATTTGGACTCCATCGTACATTGGCACTCTAGAAAAGAGGCGGAGCCGCTAAAGACACCAAAGAGCTCGAGACTAGGCTCTAAAGAGGCACCACACATGGTTGCGCAATGTCGTGCAGTTTGGCGGCCCGACATCGAATGCGCAGTCAATCCCCAAAAAGTAGAAAAAAGCTCAATAACCGATATCCTTGCAGAGCAGCGGACTCCCACAAAANCTGTAGTTCTATAGAGATAAGCCCACAAAATCACCAAAGCAAACAAATTGTGGCCCACTATATGCAGCAGGCCCATACATTCATAAATCTCAGTCAGCTTCCTTCACGAGACATCCGAGCCTGTTGTGGGACCCCACAAAACCCCACCAGCTTCTCTTTTTTCGCGCGTCTCTATACACACACCAACTGCTTTGCACTTCCAGATTTGTTTTTTTCTGTTTCCTTTTTTCCTTTTTTTGGGGGAAAAAAATAATCAAGAAAAGATCGATCCTTTGCTGCCTCACTTGGGTTTTCTCACTCTCACTGTCCCTCCCCCAAATGGAGGCTCTGCATATCGGTCCATCAAAAATTCACCTCCGAAAATCATCTGAAATCGCGGGTTTTAGCTCCGCCGCCGGTGTCCGGCGAGTTGGCTTTGTTTCCGGGCTTTCGAGATTCAGGGAAGCTCATCGCCGTCTGTACTGTGTGAAAACGAGGTCGTACGCTGAGGATGAAAATGGAGGAGGGGATTTGGTTAGCGACAGTACCAAAAGTGCTGGGAATATGAAGCAAGATCAGGGTCTTTTGCTCGGGGCTGAGAGGAACAGCGCCGGCTCTATTGTTGGGTTCAATTTGGTTGCTCGCTCAGGTGAGAAATTAGTGATTGGGAAAGCCCATTTTTGGGTTTTGTTGTTTAATTGGTTGTTTTGTTGGGTACCTTTTTTGGGTTCGTTGGACCATTTTTGTGTATTTTATTTTTGTGCTGCTGCTGTTTACTAACACGATCTGTACGTGGGTTCTTCATATGTTTAGTAGTTTGTGCAACTGAGTACTTGAGTCATAGTGTACAATTTAGTATATTATCTTTGATTTTATCTGTACTTGGGGTTCACACTGTTTAGTGGAGTAGGCGATGAAAAACCGAACAGAGTCGGAGGATCCTGAGCTATCTTTGTTGTAGCTCGTTTTTTGTTGCACAGTGAATCTGAATTATGGCTTGTGATTAGTAGTTGAAGAAGATAAGTGAAAAGGTTGATGCATGGACATGAGTATTTTCCATTAAATTGCACTTCATTGTTTTTCTTCTCATGTTGACAAATTGCCGTCCTATCTCGGTATCGTCTCTGTCTATCTTGTGCAGGAGTACAGTTTGTTGCTTAATCTAATATCCTAGGATTGTTAACCATTGACCGAGATGCTTATTTACACATTTTTTTGGATTTTGTTTTGGATTTGAGGTAATTTGTGTGAGTTTTATATGTGAAGTGACAGATATCATGATTTCTTAGGTCAACTTCAACTAACTTCAGCAATCAGCAGTGAAAAAATCCTTGAATCTCAAGAAACTGAAGGTAAAGTAGGAGCAAAGCCATCTGAAGACATTGAAAAAGATGAGGAAGCTTCAATTCGGATAACATACAATATAATTTTCGTAACTTCCGAAGCAGCTCCATATTCGAAAACCGGAGGCTTGGGAGATGTTTGTGGCTCTTTGCCTATAGCATTAGCTAAAAGGGGACACCGTGTAATGGTTGTTTCCCCTCGGTATTTGAGTGGAAATTCATTGGATAAAACATTTTCGAATGCGGTTGATACCGAACGGCGTTCGAAAATATACTGCTTTGGTGGTGTGCAGGAGGTTGGATTTTACCATGAGTACCGGGCTGGAGTTGATTGGGTAAAAACACATTAAATACCATGAAATTAGTAATTTTTGTTATAATTATTGAACAATATATAAGAAAAATAATAGGATGTCTTCTCATCGTAAACATATGGTAAGAATAGTTAAAACTACATCTTAAAATTTTGAAAATGGAAATTTTTACTTATCTTGCTCGATCATTTATGATCCACAATCTTATTTTGTTAGGTCTTTGTTGACCACCTTTCATACCACCGCCCGGGAACTCCATATGGCGATACTTATGGTGCTTTTGGTGATAACCAGGTAAGAAATTTGCTTTTTTTCTCCAAGAGGAAAAATCGATATCTGTTTGCTTATTTTGACTTTGATGATAATAAATCAAGTGTTACACTTTCTTTCTCTCTTTGAATAGTTCCGGTTTACATTACTTTGTCATGCGGCATGTGAAGCTCCATTAGTGCTGCCGTTGGGAGGGTTTACTTATGGCGAAAACTGCCTATTTCTTGCAAATGACTGGCATGCTGGCCTAGTTCCTGTGTATGTAACTTAATATATTATGTCTATTTTTTGCCAATAGACTTACTCAGAGATAGTCATGCAAGGATCATATGTTCTAAGTCTTGCAATGACACGTATTATATGTTGAATAACAATGAAAAAAGGATTAAGATGATCAATATTGCATTCTTACTAG